TAGTTAATTTTAGCTGATAATATTTAAAGCTGATAATGTTGGAGATAATTTTAGCTGATAATATTTTACACTAATAATATTTTAGCTGTTTTTCAGCTCATTTCAGCTCCATCCTCTCACCTGTCCACTTTTCTTCAAACAGTTAAAACTTAAATCATCTGTAAAGTGAACGTCGGCCACATTAAGTCTTCATTTGATTGACAGCTGGCTGACCCAATCAGAGCTCTGTCTCCATGGTAACTGTCAACTGAACTTCCTGATGTTTATTGGTCTGTACCTGCAGCTAACGATCACACCTGGCTGCTCAGCACCTGCTGTCTGCTCTCGTTAGACCTGAGTCTCAGGTGAGGACAGGAGAGGACAGGTTGAGACAGGAGAGGACAGGTGGAGACAGGAGAGGACAGGTGGAGACAGGAGAGGACAGAAGACAGGTGAGGACAGGTGGAGACAGGTGAGGGCAGGTGGAGACAGGAGAGGACAGAAGACAGGTGAGGGCAGGTGGAGACAGGAGAGGACAGGTGGAGACAGGAGAGGACAGGTGGAGACAGGAGAGGACAGGTGGAGACAGGTGAGGGCAGGTGGAGACAGGTGAGGACAGGTGAAGACAGATGAACAGGTGGAGACAGGTGAGGACAGGGGGAGACAGGAGAGGACAGAAGACAGGTGAGGGCAGGAGAGGGCAGGTGGAGACAGGAGAGGACAGGTGGAGACAGGTGAGGACAGGTGAGGACAGGTGGAGACAGGAGAGGACAGAAGACAGGTAAGGACAGGTGGAGACAGGAGAGGACATAAGACAGGAGAGGACAGGTGGAGACAGAAGAGGACAGGTGGAGACAGGAGAGGACAGGTGAGGACAGAGGACAGGTGGAGACAAGAGAGGACAGAAGACAGGTGCTGAACTTCAGGTAAATTCAATAATTAGTTCAGAAGTTTTACAGAACTCGTTGAACCCAGTCCAGGTTCAGGGACAGAACCTGAGTCCAGGTGAGTCCAGTCTGTCTCTGAGGACTCAGAGTCCAGAACTGACGGGAGTTGATAGCTTGTTTACCTGCTGCAGGTGTGATCAGATGTCTCAGGTAGAGACATCCAGACTTTGACATCGTCAGAGGACAAACTGATATCAGCTTCAGGATTGAGACATGTCCTCATGTCTCCATGTCTTTATCTCTGACAAGACTCTGTTTTGTCTGTCATGTCCTCATGTCTGTCATGTCCTTGTGTCTCCATGTCCTCATGTCTGTCATGTCCTCATGTCTCCATGTCCTCATGTCTCCATGTCCTCATGTCTCCAGTGTGCTCATGTCTGTCATGTCCTCATGTCTGTCATGTCCTCATGTCTGTCATGTCCTCATGTCTGTCATGTCCTTATGTCTGTCATGTCCTCATGTCTCCATGTCTTCATGTCTGTCATGTCCTCATGTCTCCATGTCCTCATGTCTGTCACGTCCTTATGTCTGTCATGTCCTCATGTCTGTCACGTCCTTATGTCTGTCATGTCCTTATGTCTGTCATGTCCTTATATCTCCATGTCCTCATGTCTGTCATGTCCTCATGTCTGTCATGTCTCCATGTCCTCATGTCT